TTTTTTTTTTTTTTTTTTTTTAAGTAGGAGCACAAGTGCTCCTGAAAATAAATGCAAGCATGGAGTCCTTAAGAATGTAATGTTACCTTTTAAAAACTAATTGCAAATGTTTATGCAAAGTGTAAACTATTAAATATAATCTACAAATCATGCAATACTGTACCAGTAAATAAGATGCGTTTTGAGGGCTTAGATAAACAGGCCAATTAGAGACAATTACTAATCATTCCGATTTTTTATTAAATCATTCTTTCATTTCACTAATCAATCCTTTTTTTCTTTTCTTTTTCTTTTTTTTTTTTATTAAACACAAGGTAACATGTGCAAATTCACACACAATGCATCTTTAATTTGGCCAGAATTGCAGGTGAAAGTCTTAATATTCAAGATGGTTTGGAGAAAATATGAAATAAGTTTCATATTATTATAGATTATAAAGTGTTTCATAATTAAATACATCCGAAAGGTCATCTAAAATTACCATTATTCACATTATATCTCTATTATATTCCATTATATCACATCCGAGATATCACATCGCATCCGAGATGCATCATCAATATAGAAAAATTAGACATAACAATTAACCAGTACATATTATGACAGCAGATTGGCTTCTTGATTGAAACAAAAATACAGTTTTTGTTACGTGAAATAGGCATCAATAAATTAATTAATTAATTAATAAAAAAAAACTAAAACTAAACATCAAACCCACCACACACACACTCATGCAAACACATGTTATAATTAATAATTTAATTTAATTTAATTAAACATGTTGATGCCAGCTTTGACACCATCCTCTTCCCCCTTGGAATAAGAAGCTGGTCTACTAAATGAAAGGTCAGGCAGGCTTGATGGATAGAGTTTCTCCTGAGGATGACTAGTATGTTTTTGGCTCATGTCATGAATTTTATGCAATTGCTGCACTGCAGTGGTGTTTAAAATATATTGCTTATAGATGGAAGGAGTAGAATATATTAGCATATGGACCTGTAAGACAACAGCAGTTGCAGTTAATACAGATTCATTGTGTACATGACAAATTCTGTAAATTCTAGATATGTAGGAATGATTTACTTTTGCTCTGTGAACTCCAAACACTTAACTGTTGTGAAAAACAATTGGATATAAACTGTTCAGAATGTGGTTCCGGTGTTGACAATTTTTATATATTTTTTTTTTCTTCATGAAAGATCCTACACCAAACTGCCTGTTTATCATTCATTCCTTACATATTTAAATCTTTTAAATTACTTTTACTTCAAAATTGTTCAAATCATAATTTTAATTATACGTTTACATTATACAGGACCAAAATTCTGTCATTGTTTTCTAACCAATTAAATTAAAAAAAAAAAAATTAAAAAAAAAAAAAAAAAAATTAATTAAAAAAAATATATTTGTTTCTGTCTCTCTCTACTGGTTCACGGTCGCCGTGATTTTGCCAAGTAAGACATGTTCCTGGATCAACATCCTTTGTTGATCCAAGATCAACATAACTTTAAAAAAATATATAGACTTAACCCAATCCCTACCCCTAAACCTAACCCTACCCATAATTTATTCCTAAAATCAGAGGAAAATGATAGCTGATTAACAAGGGTGTAGAAGCAACCCTGAACGTAAGCCTAAAATTGACATTTCCTGAGAAGTTATCAATTTATTCTGATTGGTTGATTAAATGTTGATCCAGGAACATGTTGTACTTGGTGAAATCACGTTCACCACTGGGGTCGCTTAACGTTATATACATTTGTGTTGTGTTGTCAAGTTGGACAATCACTGGTGCCAAAGTCCTTTTTGCATGATCACAACAGCGCTGGATTGACCCAAATAAACTATATTAAACTCAACATTCCAATTACATTAAACTCTACACTGCAAGTATTCTACAAATAATCAGTTATTCAGTTATCCTGAAGTTTCACATTATTGTGGATAGCGACGTACAGAACACAGTAACGTTACCTTATGAGCTCCGGGCAGCAGCTCTCCTGGAGGTTTCTTTCTGAGCACATAACGTTTATCTGCAGTCTCAATGTAAAACGTTGGATTGGATTGCCCAGCTCTATTCAAAACAAATAAGTACAATAGAACAACAAACAAACAAAACATGCGTTTTGTTTGCATGAGGTGCACTTGAAAAATGATGTGTGTTGTGAAATTTCTTACCTGTACTGCTGCAGAGTTAAAGTGCTGTTGCCTGAAATGCTGTCAAGTTTCCCTGACAGATATCTTTTCAGGTTATAAGTGTCAAATCGATGTTCTGGACGGACAGCGGTGATTTGGCGATCCATTGCGTTACAAAGTGAAATTCAGAAATAAAGTTCACGACTTTAGGATATTTCAAAATAAAAGTCATCAACTTCTGCTGATGTGATGTAGGCTATTGTAAGGAGCAGCAGACCCAGCGCCGAAAAAAAATGACTTAAGTTAATGTGATATTACTATGTACTTACAGGCTTGAACGGATTCAGCAAGCATCTTTTATATGGGTGACTCCTCATGTACAGGCAGTTTTGATTAGCCTACTTGGATTTTTAAAACGTTTACAACTGTCATATTACATTATCACATAATGGAATAAAAATTTGATGATGGACGTGATCACATGATCAAGTGGATCACATTTATATATATATGAGTATCTCTTATATATATATATATATATATATATATATATAACCCAAGTTAGATAGCAGTCATAGTGATAAGGTTTTTCAAAATGCTTTGATGAACGTTGAATAGAACAGTATTTTTCTAAATAGAGTTATTTTGTAACATTTTAATTGACATTACTGTCACTTTTAATCAATTTAGTGCATCATTGTTGAATTAAAGTATTAATTTCTTTAAAATACAACACCTTACTGACCACAAACTTTTGATCTACTGTTTTTGTAATATTATACAACTTAGTTTAAAAATACTATGAGTGAGCAGCAGGTGTCAGCACACTCTAAATAATTAATAATGGCTGCCATAAAGTGGAGCTCACCAGAAAGAAGAAATTAATTACAAATCAATCCAAGTCAATTTTTCAGTTAAAAAAAATATATTATACACACATAGATAGATGCTATTTGGAATCATATTTTGAGAGCTGCAACTTATTATTTTGGATATCTTTCTGTGAATAAAGTTGCTTTAAAGGATCAGGTTTGTTATTATTGTTTGTTATACCTAGTCTGATAATTCTGAAGAAGAAAACAAACTAAATCATAACACAAACGAAACATTATTTAGCCTATACAAAAGCTTTAATGGCATGTTATTTATAAATTATTTACAAGCTATGCAATTAATTTCAAATATACTGTACAAATGACTATAATTAGCAATACATGATGTGGTGCCCAGCAGTCAAAAATAATTAACGTAATGCTGCATATAAAAGTATGTACATCATAACAGAACAGACAATGTTATTTTCAATGCTTATAAAAATAATCATTACCTCAAAATTCCAATGATCAAAAATAACCTCTTTTGGATCTTTTCTCTGATATGTATCATACCTAATATGCAATGTGCTCTGCATTTGGTCATGTCCATGTACTTTAATTACTTTAAGCACAGTCTATCCTTCTTGCACTTTGTTTGTGTCCAACAAGACATTAGTGATATCTTTGCTCACATGCATCCAGGTTTAGATGTGAGACAGGGAGTATTTCATGGCTAGGCATGATGGATATGACATGTCAGAGGATATGTTAAAATATATTATGTGCATCTTGAAGAAAAAAACATTTAACTAAGCATCAGATCACTTGCATGTTGCAAAAATATGTAAATATGCTCTCTAATACAGTTACTTGACCCAGTCTCCCACAGTTCAGATCATTTTATTCTTCCTATATGTATGCTTTAAAAGTGGGAGTGATTATTAAAGCTACAACATTTGTAAACTAAAAAAAGAGCAGAACTTTCTCATGGGTAGAGGGGAAACATGATTCTTTTACAAAGTAGGGGTGTGTGTGTGTGTGTGTGTGTGTGTGTATGTGTGAACTAGGCACCATGTGCCAAGTGAGTGTGCAAGCCCTTTGTATTCAAGAGAAAAGAACAAAGTTCAGCTACTGTCCACAGTCATTCAGTAGAAAAGAGGCCACAAGCTAATAAAATTATCTTCTGAGAGCGATTTAAATTATCTGACAAGAAAGACACCTCTATACATCTGCAAGCTTAATTTTGCTAACCCCAATGCCCTTAACACTAAGATTAATAAAGCAGTGATTTCATAACAAAATCAAAGGTTTTAGTTAATAAAATGAGTTTGCAATTTTACATATACCCTTTTTTTCAGTTTTTGGCTATTTGAATCAGAATTTTAAGTTACAATAGCATATATATCAAGATAATATTCTATCTTGATAAATCCTTATGTGGATCTTCTTCTCCAGGAGCATCTGCAGATCATCCACTAATGCCAAAGGATTGTTTCTAATGTAGACTCTTTCTGAAGAATACATTTTTCAGGCAGGTTTTCTGGGCATTGGGCCTTGAAAAAAATGAATCACAACCTCAAAAACAGTACAGCCTGGACATTACAAACCAAAGAAAATGAAACAAATCTTTCAGGCCACCATCAATCTGTACACCAGGAATAGCAGCTTATTTCTTCCTTATGTTAGTTTCTAGTAGTACAGCTACAGCATGAGTCTAGGTTGAATAATGAGGCACGTGGGTGAATATACCAATCTGATGGACAAAGTCAAAGCAGGAAGCAAGCAGTGATCTCTGCATTCAAACTCTTCCTGCCGTCATAAACACTACTAATCAGAAAATATAAGCGCTGGCACATCTATCACTTGGCAGAAATTACATGCTGGATCTGCACTGTTTAGGTGGGATTCAGTGCTCCCCGTAAATGTCCACCCATGCAGAATTGTTTGCGTTACTCCAAGATGTCAGTTTCAAAGGGAACCAGGTGGTAGTAGGACAGGTTAGTGACATAAGCTTCAGGATCATCGTCACTCAGGTCTTGATCTACAGGATCCAAAGATTCTCTCCCATCCTCATCATACCTGCATATTTAGAGATAATACAACCATTTTAATACATGAAATGATAGATGAAAAAAATCTTAAGAAACAATATAACTCCAAAACAAGCTGCCTGCTGGGACAGTATATTAAGGCATCATAAGCATACTTCTATCATAAAGGAAGCATATTTGCTTTTAAAGCTGTAACAGGACTTCACAGTACCATACATTCATCCTTCTGTGTGAAGGTACCATATAGGGAAACACAATATCAACAAAAAATCCAATTTATATGCTAAGGAAGAGAGAAGGATTGTAAATTAACTAAACAACAGTTTGTCTTGTCTTTGTAATGCTTTAAAGGTGCCATAGAATGCATTGATACAATATTTTAAATTGTTCTCTGATATCTACATAGAAGGTATGTGGCTCAGGTAAGGGCAAAAAATCTCCAGAAACGGTTTTACATGTCCATTTACAACCCAAGGATTTTTCCCTAGAATGAAATGGTCTCAATGTTGAGCTCTGCTCAGATTGGCTGTTTCATAGTGCGGCTCATTTTAGTAGCTCACACAGCAGGAAGGAAACAGAGGGAAAATATATATTTCAATACTGTCTCTCGCAGTTATATCGTTGGGTAATTATACTGTATATAAAATGCGGGCATCAGGGAGCCGCATATTAATATGCGGGGTATTGAAACTGCGTTCGAATGCACGATCGCGTTTTACTTTCACTTTCGAGATTTGCGATCGCATGTGCTCTGTGTAAACTACAGCTGCAGTACTTTCCACACATTTTACAAGATCAGATGCTTGTCAGTGGTGCTCAGGATCTGTAAATCATTCGCCATCATCCTCAGTCATCCCTCCTTACTCTGTTTATGTGGTAAGTGAAATCTTATGTACTGTAATGTAACAGGCTACCGCTAGCAAGCAGCTAACCATGTCCCTTTAGTGGCTCGCGTTATTTCATTAGAACGCGCGTTATTTGTTTTCCGTGCCTTTCTGAATACAGACACCCACCCATCCCTGCACATCACATCCCCCGCACAGCCTGGAACATAACATTTATTTCCATGATCTGCCATTTTCCTACACCATCGCCCTTTTTCTCTATCTATCTATCTATCTACATCTATCTATCTATCTATATATCTATTTTATATATATCTATTTTCTTCAGCTAAATCAGCTGGTTTCCACTCCGGGTTCCCTAGCAATCACCTTAGTAACCACCCCAAGTACACTAGCAACAGCATAGCAACACCCTAGCAACCACCCGAGTACCCTAGCAACTGCATAGCAACACCCTAGCAACTACCCAAAGTACCTTAGCAACCGAATAGCAACACCTTAGCCACCACCCTGATTATCCAAGCAACTGCAAAGCAACACTATAGCAAAAATCCTAGTAACCATCTATCTCTACAATTGTTTTAACTTAACACCTTCAAATTACAAGCTTTAAAACCACTTCAGTCTAAATATTTTTTATAAAATTGTAAAAATATTGTTTAATTATTATGAAATTGTGTAGGAGGACCGAAATAAAAATCTTGATGATGACGACTTCACATTATGTATTAGTCAACAGTGTTTGGGATGGAAGGAGGAACTGTGTAAATCATGTATTAGTGTGGGAGTAATTTCATCAAACATCTAATAGGGAGGGTTTCATTCCAGAGCTTCCTTCTCACACCCAGGGAAGGAAGTACCCCTTCCTGTGTGTGACAGACTACTATGCACTCAAGGAAAACATTACTACATAAATGTTGTCAATGGCTTATGTAAAAATTAATGTAATCGGGGCTCTCTGACAACAAAGCTTTATCAATATACATTTCCTTTATTGTTATGTACTCTGAGACTTGGACTGGGATGACAGAGGCAATGTCGGACACTTACGAGTGCTGGGCTGAGTCAGTGGAGGAGGGTCTCTCTTTGTCCAGTGGAATGCTCTCATCAAACACAATGGTCTCTGTGTTTGCCAGGCAAAACCCATTAGACCTCATGATCTCTGTAGAAATGTCAAGTGAACAGTCAGAAATCAAACAGAAAACTCTGAAATACAACTCTCAAAGACTATTTATATTATTATATATAATATTTATTATATATTCGTAATAACTGTAACAAATGTAATAATATGTATGCAATATGTAAAAAGCAAGTATAAGTAATATGTAAAAATAGAGACATTAGCCCCCTTCAAATTAGGCACCTTGGGAACTCACACAGTTCTCCCAGCATCTCTTCCACTATTCAAAACAGTCTGCAAAATCCTTTGTTGTAATAGACATCATCTGCCTTGTCGTATTTTCCTAAATTTCATTGATGGTCTGAAATTTCTTCACATTCAAAGGTGATTTTGTGTGCATCTCAAAAAATTTGAATATTGTGAAAAAGTAAATTTTTTTGTAACTTATTTCAAAAAGTGAAACTTTCATATATTCTAGATTCATTACATTTAAAGTAAAACATTTAAAAAGTTTTTTGTTTGCTTGTTTGTTTGTTTGTTTTCATTTAGATGATTACAGCTTACAGATCATGAAAGTCAAAAATCCAGTATCTCAAAATATTAGAATATTTACATTTGAGTTTCATTAAATGACCATCCCTACAGTATAAATTCCGGGTATCTCTTGTCCCTTGAAACCACAATAATGGGGATGCTTGCTGACTTGGCAATGGTCCAGAAGACAATAATTGACACCCTCCACAAAGAGGGTAAGTCACAGAAGGTCATTACTGAAAGGGGCGGCTGTTCACAGAGTGCTGCATCAAATCATATTAAATGCAAAGTTGACTGGAAGGAAGAAACTGGGTTGGAAATTAGGCATGGGCCGATTACCGGATTCAAGGTATACCGCGATTTGAAAATTTCACGGTTTCAAAACCGCTAATATCTTCCATTATACCGTTCCTGCGGTATGCGCTGTTTTTCATGTCTCCTCAAAGACTGAAAGTGTAGGAATCCCTCAGGTTGAGTGCAGTGTAGAGAGTAACACGTCTCCTCCTCCTGTTGGTGCGAGCGAGCTGTCAATCACGTGTGACGGCCGAAAAAGCTTCCTCTGGAACTTACGCAATCGGCAAACGACCGTTTATTGTATTATTGCAGCCGATCTCTGTTTATATGAATGTGTTTCTGAGGGGAACTGACTGTCCGTGATACCGTGAAATTTTTGCTTAAGGTTATCATACCATCAAAATTTCATACCGGCCCATGCCTATTGGAAATGGTGCACAAGCAACAGGGATGACCGCAAGATTGAGAATACTGTCAAGCAAAGTCGATTCAAACACTTGGGAGTGCTTCACAAGTAGTGGACTGAAGCTGGAGTCAGTGCATCAAGAGTCACCACGCTCAGACGTCTTCAGGAAAAGGGCTACCAAGCCACTTCTGAAACAGAAACAACGTCAGAAGCATCTTAACTGGGCTAAGGAGATCACGTCAGACGCCTTCAGGAAAAGAGCTAACAAGCCACTTCTGAAACAGAAACAACGTCAGAAGCATCTTACCTGGCCTAAGAAGAAAAATAACTGGACTGTTGGCTCAGTTGTCCAAAGTCCTCTTTTCAGATAAAAGTAAATTTTGCATTTCATTTGGAAATCAAGGTCAGGAGTCTGGAGGAAGACTGAAGAGGCACAGAATCCAAGCTGCTTGAAGTCCAGTGTGAAGTTTCCGAAGTCAGTAATGATTTGGGGTGTTGGTGCTGGTGTTTGTCCTGCAAAGTCAATGCAGCCATCTACCAGGAGATTTTGGAACACTTTATCCTTCCATCTGGTGACAAGCTTTATGGAGATGCTGATTTCCTTTTCCAGCAGGACTTTAGCACCTGCCCACAGTGCCAAAACCACTTCCAAGTGGTTTGCTGACCATAATATTACTGTGCTTGAATGGACAGCCAACATGCCTGACATGAACCCCATATGGAATCTATGGGATATTTTCAAGAGAAAGATGAGAAACAGTCGATCCAACAATACAGACGAGCTGAAGGCTCAATAGTGCCTCAGCAGTGCCTCCGGCTGATCGCTTCCATGCCACACATCACTGATGCTGTAATTTGTGCTAAAGAAGCCCTGACCAAGTATTGAGTGCATAAATGGACATACTTTAAAGAATTTGAATTTTTCTGTTTTGCAAATCCTTTTTTTGATTGATCTTAGGAAATATTCTAATATTTTGAGATACTGGATTTTTGACTTTCATGAGCTGTAAGCTCTAATCATCAAAATTAAAACAAAAAGACAACTTTTGAAATGTTTTACTTTACATGTAATGAATCTAGAATATATGAAAGTTTCACTTTTTGAAATAAGTTACAAAAAAAAACTTTTTCACGATATTCTAATTTTTTGAGATGCACCTGTACAGGATATTGAACAAACTGGATAAACGGATCATATTTCATCAATTGCAAAAGGACAGTCAGTTCTAAAGTACAGATAAAAAAACAAAAACAAATCAGGTTTGTTTGAAATGTGAGAAAACCCTTAAATCTATTGTTGTGGGTGTATTATTGACATGTCAAAGTCTAGACCCTGAATATAAGACGACCGCGTTTTTTCAGATGTATTTCCAAGAAAAAAATATCGTCTTATATTCGGGACAATACGGTATATATATATATATATATACACAGTACATATACAGCATATGACTGGGTTGCTGGTACTGCCTAATGCCTAATACAAGGAGTGACAAGGACTCTGACAAAATATAGAACTAGAGACAAATCAGTCAGGAAGGATGAGGAGAGAGCAATTGTCTGTAGCCATCACCTGCAAAACCATTTCCTTTTGGGGGGTTGTTTTGCTGTTGCCTCTCCAGTGCACCTGTTGTCACTTTCATTTGCACCAAAGCAGGTGAAACTGTACAGATTGATATCCCTGAAGTTTAACTGACAGGGTGTTATACGATTAAATGTTCCCTTAAAATTTTAACACTATTACAATAATTACACTATTAATTTTATTGCTTACATTTCAACAATATTACACTATAATATAATATTGTAATATTTATAAATATTAACAAGCATTTTAACATTAAAAACCTATACCTGAAATCTTAACTGGACTTTGAAAGCATGGCTGAATTTTGTGGACACTGTCGTTCCTCAGGACCTGGTCAAGCTGTGAGCGTTCAAAGAATGTTAAGACAACTTCTGACCTAGAAAACTTGAGAAAACATCCTTTTAGTATGCAATTTAAGATAACACTTCCAGTAAACCATTCAGGAAGATGTTCAGGTAATTAAATTAAGCTGTTAGCTGGCAAGAGGTAATAAAGAAATAACAAGAGATGTTTCTTGTTTGTTGCACTCAAATACACAAGCCCTTTTCTTGCTGGTGTCATTAGTTAGATCTCTCACCTTCCAGGGCATGTTAATGGTATTCTTCAACAGTCGCTCCACTTCATTTAGCTTTGTCTCAATGTCTCTTGCTTCTTTAATCTTGACAAGCCCTGTGTGAGAGCACAAACATATCAGCATATTCAGCCTTTATCATCAGATCAGCATTCTGCCTCTCACCTCAAGATTTTATGTGCAGTTCGATGGAGATGTGGCTCATTGACTAATTGGGTAATAGACTAATAATTATTTTACCACTTCTTTTATGAGCTTAGCAACCATTGTGCAGTCTAGACAAGGGTGCAGCGATATCACTTTCAGGCAACACTTAAAACAACTTTATTTGACCCCATATATCATGTAATGGACCATAGAAAAATCTTTCTTAGTTTAGTAAAAGGTTGGCTTAAATGTGAGCAAGTCTGATAAAGGTCCTGACCTTTGTGTTAACAATACTCAACCCATTACCTATCCATTCAAAGCAGTATTTACAAAAATGAAGACATTTCTTGTAAATGACATAATTCACAAGAGTGGCATACAAGAGAGGATGTGCCAAATTACATGGAAGGCCAGGCATTTTTTATTCTCTGAGGAGCAAAAACAAATGCTGCCACTATGTTCACGCAGCTGCTTATGCTTTTTTTGACAACAATGTGAAGCTCCAAACATAGGTTTGGGATGAGCATTTAGTCCTGTCAATCATCAATCAGCACTCATGGTTCCATCCCAGCAACAATTCTTCCAGCGTTTATCCTTGTCCTGTCCTGTGAACAGTGTCCCAACCCGACAAACTCCAGCACTTCACCTCCAATGAAGAATGCTCCGCAAAGATCCTCTTAATCTGGTTCCCCTTTCAGGTAGGCATCCGCACACCCCAGCCATTTCAACTGCTACTCAAAATTCCAGATAAACCACTTTCATCCAGAAAATCTCCCATTCTAAAAATAGGAAAACGGACACTCAACTGATTGAGGCACGTTTGCTGCCCCAAACATCTATTTCCTACGAAAACAAACAGAAATTCAGCTCCTTTCCGTATTCCCGCCAGGAAGTTACTGTTCAAAGCAATGTCCCATTACATCCTGAAAGCATTTCTAATGATCTGATGTGGTATTCTGAAGATCTGAAGCAGTATTCCTAAATGTATAATTTAATTTTTTAAGTGTATGGTAAATGATAGACATGTCAATCTAAGCAAACAATCCAATCCAAAGATGCTCCAACTGTAAAACAGTGGCTGATTGGTCTACATATCATCCCCACCCAGCATATCCTAGATCAAGTTCCTATTGGTCGGATTACCGACGTTTTTCAAATGTAATTTTCAAAACTGTGCCATCACTGCGACATGATCAGATCCCGGAAGTCATATCTTTAGACTAACAGCATGTCATGGCACTCCGTAAACATTAATCCAAGATCTACGCATCACTTTATATTGTGCAAAGGCATGTTTGATACAAGATCAACTGCTCTAAATGTCGTCTAAACATGTTCCATTTAGTTCAGTCCTTATGTCAGCACTCCATAATATTGCAGACCTTTTTAAAGCAAATTGAGACCATCTTGGGAGGTGTCTGAGTACAGAGGTGCTTCCAGAAGTCATAGATCCTCTTCTGACTATTATTAATTCATCATTGTCATTAGGATATGTCCCCAAAACCTTCAAACTGGCTGTTATTAAGCCTCTCATTAAAAAACTTGACAACTTGACCCCAAAGATCTAGTTAATTACAGACCGATTTCGAATCTCCCTTTTCTGTCAAAGATACTAGAAAAGGTAGTTTTACACTGTCAATACAAGAGACAAACCAATGGGCCACTGGCTGCTAGCTGTCCCTGCGTGATGGTCCTCGGCAAAAAAAAATGCGTCGGCCCACCGGGAAAAGGCCCGTTATGCCTGATTACCAATCCAGCCCTGATTTCCAGTCAGGATTTAGACTGTATTATAGTACTGAGACTGCTCTCATTAGAGTTACAAATGACCTGCTCTTATCATCTGATTGTGGTTGTATCTCTCTGTTAGTGCTATTGGATCTTAGCGCTGCGTTCGACACCATCGACCACAACATTCTTTTGAATAGACTAGAAAACTTTGTTGGCATTAGTGGAAGTTCATTAGCATGGTTCAAATCGTACTTATCTGACCGCCATCAATTCGTAGCAGTGAATGAAGAGGTATCATATCGATCACAAGTGCAGTATGGAGTACCTCAAGGCTCAGTACTTTTCACGCTTTACATGTTACCCTTGGGAGATATCACGGTGTTCTACAACACGGTGTTAGCTTTCACTGTTATGCTGATGATCCTCAGCTCTATATTTATTTGTGGCCCGGCTAAACATACCAATTAGAAAAACTAACGGAATGCATAGTTGATATAAAAAACTGGATGACGAGTAATTTCTTACTGCTAAATTCTGAAAAAAAAATAGAGGTTTTAATTATCTGACCTAAAACCTTCGCATGTAATAACTAGGGCTGCCCTCGACTAAGGATTTTTCTGGTCAACTAGTAGTCGTTCATTTGAAGCATTAGTCGACTAATCGCACGTTTATTAATAGACCATTTAAATCATTATAATGAGCCTTTAATTGCAAACATAGCCTAATAAGTGCTAAAGCACACGCATAAAGCTTGCCACAGCGCACCGGCAGAAGTAATGATTATGAATGTTTCAGGGAAAAACAGTAAGGAGACTGCATTAACATTTTAATAATTTGATGAACTAGTGCTTTTTGTTTTCGGATTAAGAGATGAAGTCGGAGACACTGAATTCGCAGTAGTGGATGCGCATGTATTCATGTTTCATACAGATTACATAATCTGAGAATTTGTTTTCCATTTGAATTGGTTCATTTGAAAGTAGACATTTCACTCTCTATAGATATATTTTTAATGTCTGTAAGGCAAAGATATACACAGAGTTTCGCGTTCAAGTTCACAGACCGAGACGGCAGAAAGCGCATCATGTTTGCTTTCATTATTTTACAAAAGCGTGGTATTGTGAGTGCACACAAATAAACAAAAAGTCTTTACAGATTTGAAAGATGTATTACTCTTATCTGCATGACCAAAAATGAGGGATTATTTTAAAATCAAGTCAGCGCACCTTCATCTGTCCTGCAGTGAGTGCTAATGTTCAGCTTCTACACTCCGCACAGACGCTTGAATAGCGCACATTTTTCTAGGTTAACATTAGTGGGGGTTTGGTGCCTTGCTCAAGGGCACCTCAGTCATGGTATTGAAGGTGGAAGAGAGCGCTGTACATTCACCCCCACCTACAATTCCTGCCGGACCGGAGACTCGAACACGCAACCTTTGGGTTACGAGTCCGACTCTCTAACCATTAGGCCATGACTTCCCCCTCTAGAATAGACTAGAGGGGGTGGTTGTTCTGCACGCTTAATAAACAAACTCCAGCTGGTCCAAAATGCAGCAGCTAGAGTTCTTACTAGAACCAGGAAGTATGACCATATTAGCCCGGTTCTGTCAACACTGCACTGGCTCCCTATTAAACATCGTATAGATTTTAAAATCTTGCTAATTACTTATAGTACTTGAGCGAGCTCTTATCGCAGTATAGCCCTCCATGTCCACTGCATTCTCAAAAATCTGGCAATTTGATAATACCTAGAATATCAAAATCTTTGCTTTCTATAGATATATTTATCATGTCTGTGAGGCATGTATTCGCTGAGTTTCGGTTCATTTTTGTAAGCGCTCCTGTTCAAAGACGAGACAGCAGAAAGCGCATCATATTTGTTTTCTTTATTTTATAAAAGCACAACGTTTTGTTGATATTGTGAGTGCACACAAATAAAAGTATATATTTAACGACCAAAAAATGCTCCAAACGTTTTTCTAAATTAACTTAACAAAAAAACGAAACGAAATATAATCACTTTGCCATTACATACAAAACTGAACTATTTTAATATAGCTGAAACAGTAGTATTAGCTGTTTTGGGAGAAAGGGGAAAAAAAGACGGGCGGGGGCCGGTAATTCTGATAAGCTGTCGGACATGGCCGGGCTAGGGCCTATATTTGAGGCCCGTGCAGGGCTCTAGCCTGAACATCTTCAAGTGAGTGGCGGGGCAAACCGAAAGTTGATGCCGAAAGTCCAGCACTCTTCTACCTTCACTGCTGCGACTACTCTTGTTTGTATGCGTTCCTTCGCTGGCATTTTCCACATTTCGTTTTTCTCCCTTAATAACAAATGTGTCCATTCTGATGCTCAATTTTACCGAACTAATGGCTGCTGATGACTATTTGAATTGAATTCTGCCAAAGTGCGCGCTTGTAAGTGTTCATTAAATGCGTAACGTTAATTACGTGAGTACAGGTCTGCTCATGTCTGAAAATAATATATGAAAAACAAAATTATTTTACATAACAAAAACATTATAGCTTATATTTGCTTAGTAAATTTTTAAATTAATGTAAAAACTAAAATGAATTGTAAAACTGAAAGTTATTTTTTTAATTGTGTTCAGCATGGTGGGCCGCATTTGAATTCGTGACGGGCCATGGGTTGAGAACCACTGCGTTAAACATTGTTAGGCTGCATTAATTAAGTCAACCGGAACCAGGAATACTTCCCATAACACCCAAGGTACTTGTTACATCGTAAGAAGAATGGCATCTACACTAATATTAGTCTGTTTCTTTCTTATTCCGAGGTCACCATAGCCACCAGATCCAGTCTGTATCCAGATCAGATGGTAACTGCAGTCACCCGGATCCAGTCCGTATCCAGCCCAGATGGTAGATCAGGACCTAGAGATGACCTCTACAGCCCTGAATGTCAGCGGAGATCAGGACAACTAGATGAGCCCTAGAGACAGATCCCCAGTGAAGACCTTGTCTTCTAGACAGCCATCAGGACAAGACCACAGGAACCAGATTAGTCCTCTGCACAAACTAACTTTGCTGCAGCATGGAACAACCTGGTTTGTCTGGCCAGAGGAGAACTGGCCCCCTACTGACCCTGGTTTCTCCCAAGGTTTTTTTCTCCATTCTGTCACCGATGGAGTTTTGGTTCCTTGCCGCTGTCGCCTCTGGCTTGCTTAGTTGGGGACACTTCATTTCCAGTGATATTGTCGACTT